CTTGGAAATTTGATTCAAAAGTATCAAAAGGGATAATACATCTTCTATTGTTTAATTCAGAAGAGAAAATGAAAAATCTGACTCTATCTAAACGTATGCGTAGTTCCTTGAATGAACCACACAACACACAGCCTCGGCGTCGAAAATATCAGTCGAAACGTCAAATTGTTGAATAATCAAGCACTATTAAACCGGACAGTGTATTGTTTTCCAATTTGCCAGCCAAGTGAAATCGATCGTGTGCGGTTTCGCGACGTGCAAAATTTCGCGCTTTTTCAATTAAACCATCCTCGGTGTGTTGAATTATCGCGAATACACGCCCGATTCCTTTCGGGTAAAATAATGTTATTCACGCACGGTACCAACCAAAAATATCTCTCTCTTTAACTCGCGATCGATTCGAAAAGTGAAATCGGTCGTGTGTATACAACCGGCTTCCCCACACGTGAAAACGTCCGAACTGTTAATCGTATTGCGAAAAAAGGGACGTTCTTGATGGAATTCTCCGAATAAAACGTACATATGTATATATAGGCGTTTCGATATCTTTTCTACTGCCAAATTGCCGCGAAGTGAAATTCGCTTTCGCAGGAAAAATTCGTTCTCGGTTCGTTGTGCACGGAAACAATTGTAAACCCAATTGTATTTTAATTTGCACGAATAATATTCCATATTTTCACCCGTCTAAATACACGTAACTACGTTGTACACAGGCACACGATTGTTCTCTCTCAATGTAGAGAAACAGAAGGGGGTAGAATTTTCAAATAGTTGATTCCTGTTGGGAATTTCGGAGAGAAACGACACGTTTCTTGTACACTCCCCCTGCGTGGCTGGTTGCGACGCAAATTACCGTAGCAGGAAGGAAGGAAAGGGATTTCTTTCTTTTCCCTTTTCTTTTTTCTTCTCGTTCCTGGAAGCAGGTTTAGATAGAGGGTAGATAGGACACCGATTTCTTTGGCCACCACAATTTCCTACAATGTCAGTCACAGAAATCGCGTGTACGACGTTGTTGCATGAATCAGAACAGTTGCCGTGTGTTATTTTCTTAATTAACGCAGGCTAATTACGATCATTTCCATTCCACGATTTTTCTTAAGCAACTCTGTGTTTAAAGAATTTAATATTCTTTCGATGAAACTTCGCGGAGATACGTATAGGTATTAGATCGTGAAATGCACGATTTCTAACCATTCGCAAATTGATTGCTCAAATTATTAGTTAAGCGTTGAAAAGTTCTGGTATTTTTCGTGTTAATTTAACCCTTTAACTACAGATCTCACTCGTCTCTGAGACGAATCTGAATTTTTATTCCACTTTCGTTAGCTAGAGGAGAATTCTTGAATCTCTAGTTTATTTAAGTACTCTGATTTTCATTAAAAAAAAAAAAGAAGAAAAATTGTTAATTATTTTTACGAGATATTGCAAAAAACCTTAAATTTTCCAAGTTCTCATAAAGGGTTAAAATTCACACTATTTTGACAAGTTACTCTTGGCTCATACGAGAGTAATATTTGAATTAGAAAAGAAATTTTATTCTACCCCCAAAAAATTCGAAATTTTACGCGAGACGATCTAATACATCGAACTTTCACAACCGTCAATTTCCCTCGAAAATTTCCGCGTAATCCCGTTCAGGAGAGATATTGGCAGTGAAAAGAGTAATTTACACACGACAGTGGCACGTTCTTCGTGCGCATAATGCAGCTGGTGCAAGTGTAAAATTCGGCCGAACGATCCTCCTGGCGATTTCGAGGCCGGAAGTGAGTAATTACGGGCCCGTGGTGGCAGAGGAAGAATCCAGAAAGGACTTCCGGTCGGATTTACATAATAACGTGGCGTCAAAGTCGGAGCCGAGCAGAGCCCCACAGCTAGGAGAGAACCGTTTCTAGCTTGGCCAAAGGACTATCGATCACTTGAATGTGTCGTCGTGATGTCGTCAACCGTGTCCACCTCTTCGAAGACCCGTTTCCTCGAATTCCCCTTTTGATCGATACCTCTCCACGCTGGCTCCCGAGGCTCTCTAAGCTCTATAAATCGTGCTTCTCGGGGGTGAAACGTCGCTGTCACCTTCCACGAATAAATAGAGAGGGATGAAAAGGGCAGAGAAGAGAAAAAAGAAAATTGTAAATTTCATTGATATTAATCGTTCACGACACAATTGTACTTTTTTCTATTTTCTACGATATTTCGATATTTTTTCTTTTCTTTTGTCAGATAGAAAGGAAGATGTTTTATGGAAAAGAGAAATTGGTAGGTATAGTTGTAGGATACGTGAGGTTATTCGAAGAATTCGAGGCAAAGTAATGTCTGGTATTTTATGAGCGATAGGTTCAGGTAGTTAAATTCTTTGGCCAAGGTATAAATCAACTAACTCGAGGAGGAACTACCTACCTACCGTGATCAACGTAATTTCAGTAATTCCATTAGACCGAGTTTCTTTTTTTCCACCCGGTCTTTATGAATTATAATTTCCACCGATCTGTTATTAAGATAATTCTCGAAAAATCTAATTTTCGTTTTAATATTCACAGAGAGAGGATCCTTGTATTATTATTGTCATTATCGTGGTGGCCGGGTGAGATACACCCAAATGATGTACGCGTTTGATGAGATTCGTAGAGGGATAGGAGGGAACAACGATTGTTCGAAAAAGAGATAGGTTCCGTCTGCTGAGAAAATTGACATCGAAGAGGAGGCGGCCGACTTTCTAATTGACGCGTACCGCTAATTGATTTTAAGTGTCAGGCGCGGTACTACTTGGTCGTCTCGACTTAATAACGCGACGATTCGTCCTCTCGCTTGCGTCACGACGCCATACAGACGCCGCGGAGTGGAGTGTGCCTGCCTGCCTGCCTGCCTGCGTCGTTTAAATATAAGTCACGCAGCCATTGTAAGAAAAAGTGTGCATTGCGTGGCCACGAAGGTGGAGCCTTTTGTACTCATTAATATCCTCGCTATTATACTTTCACCGCGGCGTTCTAGCGTTCCTTGTTCGAACGTTTGTTTAACGTTCCTAGAGACACGCATCGCCTTGACGATTATTATTATTCCTCGATTTTACCGTATAAAATTCCAAGGATAAAAAGGGGGAGAGTGGGAAAAAAGAACGTTGAATTATGGAACGCAATTAACGAGGATTAACCTTCCGACTGCGACACGTTTTAATGAAAAGAAAAAAAAAACCATCCGCTGTGAAAACTCACGTGGATTTTTCACGTGAAAAATGATCGCTTGCAACGATCGAAAAGATTCTTTATATTCAATTATTATACATCGTTTCGGCTATAGTAATAAGTAAAGATGTGTGTAAGCTTTTGACAATCAAAGGGTTAATAACGAGGAAACACTGTTAACATTGGTCCAGCGAGTGGTGTATTTTTGTTTGAATATTTTCACGTGTTCCACGCGATATCACGGTTGTGACGTAACGATAACGAGACTGCCTGAAACACCTGACAACCGTGTGCGTTTTGATTTATGCGTTAGTGCACACGGTGCTACGATTTACGACGGCCCGTTCATTTGACTATCGGCCGGCAGTCGATGACGAATCACTGAGTTATCGACTACGTCCGCAATGATATTTGCCAAAATACGATCGCCGTTCCCTGCGTACGCGGTCCATGCTATCGATAATAAATTTCGACCTGTCCGGAGGATCGATAATATATTGGCCGCGAGCAATGGCCTGTCTGGATTAGCGCTGGGATTCATGGAAACAGAGGATGGTAGAAATTGCGGAATTTCTAGTTCAAGGGATACGGCGAGAGGAGACTTATAGATTGTCTGCTGCAAACTTTCGAATTTTCGTATTTTCCAATATTCAAATTCACGAATTCGCGAATATCCATATTCTCGAAGATTCAAATTCGCAAATATTCATATTCTCGAATATTTAAATTCCCGAATATCGAAAGCCTGGAATATTCAAATCGTCAAATATTCATATTCGCAGATATCCATATTCTCGAATATTCAACTTCGCGAATATTTAAATTCGCGTATATTCAAATTCTCGAACATTGAAATTTCCGAAATTTCCAAATTCTCAAATCCCCCAAACCCACCATCTCCCCCTTTCAAAAACCTAATTAAAAGAACCCCGCGTCTTAATCTTCTCCCAACGCTTCCTCATTCCGTGCGCTCTCCACCCAGAACCACCTCAGCGACGTATCCATCAGAATACCATTTCCTCTCTTTGCCAGGCGTGTTCGTTTCCGTCACACATCCTTCTCGATCCAACCTCTCCACAGCTGCCTTTCCCCGTACACCGTATCGTCAACCATCTCTCCGTCAAGCGATTTTGATACATAATAACTACACACGCAATACCAGGTATATAAATTCCTACTCGCGAAATCTCCCAACCTTCTTCACGAATGAATATCCAACGCGCGTATATATTAAAACACGCATGTAATCGCGTGTCACTCATGCCATCCGCGAAATAAGTACAAGGTACGTGTCCGTGTAGCAAAGTTACGGTAATTCCAATTCAACTCTCCGCGAAGATTAATTCCTCTCAAGTGGTCATCACGGTTGCTGGAGCATTAATGCAGTTATCTCGGAGCGTGACAGCCTCTGAAAGGCGTGTCTCTCTCCGCTTGCGGATCGGGTATACCGATACCAGAAAAGAAGGGTGATCGGGTGGGGTAGGTGCACACGAAGGGGGGATATGATAGAAAACAGGCTTAACGAGTTCTCGTAGTTTATCGTCGAGTTTCGCCTGGCTGTGATCATGCCGATCCCTGGGGTAAATTCATTGATACAAGAAAAGCGGGTAATCGAGGCGAGACTATCGCCGATATAAATTGCTCGGATCCTTTCCGCGTGACAGCTTCGCC